CCACTAAGATACTCGCGATAGTTGGGCGCCAGATGCGGAAAGGCCGCACAAAGGAGGTTAAAGTCGGAGACGCGATGGGTTAGGAGAAAGCGAAATCACTTGACTCGATTTTGACAATAGAAATTACGTTTATTACGGGGACTCTCGCACGTCCCGATATTCACTCCGCGATATAAAGTCGTAACGGTAACGCTCCTCGGTAAGCGGTATTGCTCGCAAAACGCCACGCGAAGCCCGAGGACGTTTTCCTCGGGCGAGCCTTTTTTTACTCGCGCGACCACTCCGCGGACGAGACACGATACAAGACAGGTCGATACGCGACACAAATAAATTTGGAGCAGATGGTCAATCTTAGAGTTCGGCGACGGCCCTTGCGTCGGCGACGACGTCGGCGGTGACGGCAGCGGCGGCGGTCCTCTCTCTCTCTCCGCTCTCTCTCTCTCCGCTCTCTCCCTCTCGCTCCCTCACTGTCCTCTCTCTCTCTCCGCTCTCTCACTGTCCTCTCTCTTTCCTCGCTATCTCACTCTCTCACTGTCCTCTCTCTCTCCTCGCTATCTCGCTCTCTCTCACGCACTGTCGGCACGGCAATCGGGTAAATCGCTTTGTCTGTGCGCGGCAACGGTCGCGGTAAGGCTGCCAGCTGAATTTTCCTGGGAGAATCGCGTATCCTCGCGGATCCTCCCTCGTCGCTGCCCCCCTTGTCCTGTTGCGGTCGGTCGTCGAGAATAGGCAGATTTCGGTAATCTTGTCTCGAGACACTTTTTGTCTTGAGACTCTGTTGTCATCGGGAGTTCGCCTGTTGTCTCTCTCGGCTCTCCCGTTTTTTTTTCTGCCGGGTTTCTCACGACGGCTGCTTCGCTAAAAGTAAACACAGCTGATCCGTCTAAGCGCGATACTGTGTTATAACTACGGTAATCTCTCAGCGATAAAATATTCACTATTGCTGAGTGCGCGATAATCCACGATAAAATACTTTAATCACAAATATACGAGAGTGCGATTCACCTGAGTAAGGGCTTCGCTAGTTGTCGTCCGCTGCATCCTCCCTCCTCGATGTCCTCCGCTCCTCGTTGTCCTCTGCTCCTCGTCCGGGTTGCCGGCAAGGGACGTCGAGGGGCACAAAATTCGGGACGCGCTGACCTTCGCATCTGCTCCGCTCGCAAAATTGCTTCTTCCCTTTGTTCTAAGATCTTCACAATAAACATTCGACGGAACGCGATATTCGGAAAGGTCTCGAAAAACCGTTAGCGACACGACACGCGAAAAACATTCTCGCTAAATCGGTACGGGATTCTTGAGACGGGCGCCTCCGCGGCTGCCACGTCACAATCTATAGTTGGGACATCCCTAGTAACACATATTGGATTCACATATGTTTTCTAAACGTATGTACCATTTCATAATCGTTTGTAAAATGTTTCCCACACGTTTCTAAACTTTTTATTTGCTAATTGACACGTTTTTATGTAGCATATTGTAATTCATCATATTTTATTAATATTAATAATTGAACGTTGAAATATCGAAGTATCAAATTTAGAGGGAAAAACTTAACATTGGGGGTCAAAAACTCGGCATGTCCCAATGAATATATTGAAATACACACGCACAATTTATATATAAGGTGTAGTGAAAAGAAATTCATTATTTTTCCAATAGATGGCTTTAGTAATGTGTATCTCGCGTTGTATAAGTGCGATCGGTTTACGCTAGATGGCGTTAGAAAGATAAGATTTCGCAAAAAAACTTTTCAGACAGTTTTGTGATTGTTTGACTCAGTATTGTTTAAGCGCGCGTCAAAGATGGACACCAGCAAAGAGAAAATACGCCATATTTTACAGTTTTTCTTCGATAAAGGCGAAAACGCAAGCCAGGCGGCTGAAA